AGAGAGAGAGAGAGAGAGAGAGAGAGAGAGAGAGAGAGAGAGAGAGAGAGAGAGTAAAATAATTTTATATATGTCATATAAATAATTATATTATAGATACTAAAGTTATATGTTTGTAGCAAGGACGAGATCAGCCCGATTCAAATATAGCTGCTAAAATCGGAGCAGATGAAGATACAGAAAACAAGCAAATATTGGTAGAAAAATATAATCCTCACATCCAAGATTTTATAGGTAAATTACCAGGTGTACATTCGAAAAATTTGCGTGTTTTATTAAATAAAGGGAAATCATTAGATCATCTTATCAAGTTATCACAAGTACGTAAAAACAACAATTAAGAAACTTAAATTCTTTATAATATATTTTTTTCTTACAATTTGTAAGTAAAAATATTAAAAATTAATAATTTTTTTATAAATAGGAAGAACTAAAAGAAATACTTGGAAATAAAAATGATGCTGAATTATTATATAAAGCTCTACATGAGAAATGTTTAACAGATGAAGGTCCGGGAACTAGCAAAGTTTCTAAAGTACGTGGTAAGAGACTTTTCTCTAGAGTAAAAAAATAATGCAAAAGATGTATCTTGATATTTTTAATACATGATACATTAAAAATGTTAATAAGAAAATGTTATTACAATCTGATAAACATATTTTGTAAAATAGTTATATTATTATGTCATCTTTGATACAAGTAAGAAAATGTATATATAAAAAGCAATATAGATAAATTTATAAAAAGCAATATAGATAAATTTATTAGATAATAACCACAAATGTACAAGATCTTAATACATAAAGATGTAATATTTATATTTCACAAAATGAGCCAACAAAAAATTATTGATAGAATTTTGGATAAAATTAGTTCGAATAAATTTGCTTCTATTCACAAAAAATCATTTATAAATTACACCTGAAAATTGTTAATACATTATTTATTTCAATTTAATTGATATATCTTTTTTTTCAATATTACTTACATTGCCTCAGTAAGATTTTCAACATCACTTTCTTCATCGCTGTTACTAGTTGCATCAAGATTGTACAAAAACGAGTCATTTTCAGACATAGGAAAATAATATCTGGAATAAATAATAAAACATTTAACGTAATTTCTTCTTTTTATGTAAATTGTATACATATAATTACAAATATATTTACTCTGGTTGATCCCAAACTTTTTGTGTGGCAATTTTACAATGTTGTTGATTCTTCATATGTTCCAAGACATTGTCGGATTTTGTTTCGCAAAAGATACATCGTTGTAATTGAATTTGTCTTTTTATATAATTAACTACTTTCACCTATAATTTGATAATAATATGTTATAGAAAAGAGAGATATATATCGTTAAAAATATAAAATTAATAATTGCACGACAATTCTTTACTTTCTGGTAAAAGGTCAGATCTTTAACAGTTTCTTCAAAATCAAAACTATGTGCCTCTTTCATATGGCTCAGGATACAAGTAAACTCATTGTTGCTATAATTACAAAATAGACACGTGATTTTGACAGATTCATCATTCCAATCAGACCATGAACTTTCTTCATCCTCGTTTTCGCTACTGCCACCTCCTATGTCGGGTTTTGTTTTCAAATTAGCCTGTAGAAATAAAAAATTACATTTCTGAAGTATTAATATTTATTATCTCAAATCGTACATTACCTGTTTTCGTTCCCAAGTCTTTTCTGGCTCTAGATAATTGTTTATATAAAATTTATCATATGCTTTATTGTGAGGATTTATACTTTTGTGAAATTTTTTTCGCATATGTTCCTTCAATACCATACGATCCTTAAATGTTCCCTCACAATAAATGCATATTAAACTGAAACGATTGTCAGAGATAATTATATAATTTCGTATAAATATTCTTATTACGTACATGTATATCGCATTATACTGGAATACACATGTAGAATTCAGACATATATGTATATCAGTTTTTTAATGTGATACCTTTCAATATTGTTTTGGATTTTGTCTAGAAGCTCATCCACAAACACTAAGTTTTCTGGTTTGCCAAGGTAAAGATTGTGCTTCTGGTACAAGTGTTTTATGTACGCAGCACGTGATCCACAGATTTCAGTACGGCAAAATATACAGCCGCGCTTAAAACTGGTATCTGCACGCTCAGCTTCTTGTTGCGCTAATGTCCATTCCTTAACATAGTAATTATAAATCATTACAAAAGATTATAAGAAAAAAATTACATTATTACATAAAATTACCATAAGAATCGATTGTTATAAAGATTATTGTAAATTACATATAACTTTATTGACTTTATATTGATATACATACCAGTTTAGCTCGATGTATCTCATCTCTCAAAGTCTTGTCCTCCGACAGACAGTCAGAAAGCAGAAAGTAATGCTCATTTTTACTTGGCTGTCCATCCGGTGTGCAATCCATTAACATTGTACTGCAATAGGTCGTCAATGGTTCTTCTTTAAATTTTGTGCTCCAGTAATGTACATAACTGAAATTATCAGTATTATTATACTTTGTTACAAAGAATACAAACATAATGAAGGCAAGAGGATATGAAATGATATTATCCTACCTTCTTAAATTAGCTATTTTCCAAACATCAGCTATAACGAGGCGGTGCACTTTAAACAAGTGCGTAAGAAAATCCGCCTCGTTCGTCGGAAGAACAAATGTGCAATCACACAATAAGCATTTCGTATCACATGGCTTATCATCCAAACCGACAAACTGTGACTTGTACATTGCGCGTAATTTGAATATAAAAGAGAATCCGTATTATTTATTTATTTATTATTTATGTTTTGTTCTTTTTTATTTTACGCATGTTTATTGTCGCAAATGCGGTCAGAAATCTTGCTGTAATGCATTACATTTTAATATATTCAACACCGATTGAATTTCTATCGAGGGATATTCGCATTATGTGATTTCGAAGCGAAAAATTTCGGCGAATTTACAATTAAATTATGATGAATTGCAAACACTGCATAGCAACAAGACCCGAGACCCGAGGCTGAAGCAGGCTGAATCAGCTGTTCCACACTTTCAGGCTCAGATCGTGCGCGAGCAGTACGAGCACGGTGGATTCCGCTGGCGACGAGTAGGTTTCTGTCAATCGCTGTGCTCTTTGTTTTCACTTTCATTAGAATGAAAATCCTTTGCGTAATCTGTCAAGACCAGTTGTCATCACCCGACGACATCTTTTTCACTCGTTGCGGACATGTATTTCATCACCGTTGCTTGTTACAGTGGCTTGAAAGGTAAACATGATTTATTGGTTATGTTTCCATGCAAGGGATACGTGTCACAATAACATTAGTTTCGATCGTGCTTTTTGTCTTCCTCTTCCTAGGAATGAAACATATATCTCGTTTCATTTTAAATGTAAGGGTTGCAGCAGGCTGCAGGATAATGCACATAAAAGAAGTCCTTTATTTTGTCGTGAGATTTCCAAATTAATTTGTAAAAGAAACTCGATTAGATATTAACTAATTTTATACGTATTTATCGCATAGATCGGAGACCTGTCCGCAATGTCGTAACAGAGTGATAATAGAGAAAATTCATAAGGCTCATTTTACGGTTTCAAATACCGATATCTCAGCGGATAATGTGGATAATTCAACTCTGCAAGGAAGGATAGATAGTTTGCAGTTTCAAATTTTACTGAATGAAAAGAATATCAAGTATTACACTTCGAAAAATACAGTTCTGGAGAAACAGAATGCTGGTCTTAGACAGGAAGTGCGAAAAGTGGAAAGCGAAATGAGGCAGAAAAACTCGACTATCTATGCTTTAAAAGAAAAGATAAACTCTTTTCAGAAGAACTATCAAGAATGTGATGTTCTCAAAAGGAAGCTGTCTCAGAAAGAAAGAGAGGTGGAGCAATTCCGAGAGTATGTTTGTTTATGTCAATCGTCTTGTCTAATTTAATTGTTTGCAGCATATTGCTCGAACTGACCTTTATTGTATTTGTTTGTAGCATGTATAAAACACTGTCAACGAGTACACTTGAGGATGTACAGGGAATGATTGGAAAAATAACTGATCGTAATACTTTGATTAATTATATTTCTATGATGAAAAAGTATGTTTTCATATATCTTGATATGTCTCAATATATGTCTTCATATACTTTAATTTTAATATGTTACACAATTTGCTTGTAATTTCAGGATAATGTTAAAGAAAACGAAAAAAATAGATAATCTTGAAAATCAACTTACGAGGCATCAGCAGTCCTTAGACAAGTAATCTAGAAGCTTATATTTTTAATATTAAAATAGTTAAATTTGATAGTGTTATGATCTTTACTTTATATTATATTATAATCTAAATAAAAAATATTTATTATTAAAAATATTAAAAAAAAATATTTATAATAATATAAATATAATGTTATAAGATCTTTCTACTATATTATTTCTATTTTCAGAGATTTGCGTTTTTTCGCATTATGCGAAAGTGAAAATTTAGCCCTACGACATCGAGTTAATGAACTAGAAAAACTGCTTACATCCGATCAAAACTGTATTTCCAGATCTAGTAAACAAAAATGCTCCAATTCTTTGATTACGATGCAAACGGCAAATATTTATAATCAGGTAATTAAATTAATCCTGAAATCTGTTGTAATGGAAATTAGTTATGGTTTTAAGGCAAATTTTATTTTACTTGTAAACACAAATAATTGGGTTCTAATTTATAATGCATTTTGAAAAATAGCAATTATACCCAAATCTCATAATGCTGCATCATTATATAATGAATAGATATTTTCATTATAAGATTTTTTAAAACAAAAATTAAAGCATAATTTTTAACTCATTATCCGCCATTATTAATCCTTCCTTAGTTTTTGCATGTAAATTTTTGCATGTAAAATTATTTTATATATGTAGGATGATGTGTATATTCTGTTATGGAGAAAATTTATATTATTTTAAACAACATCTTCATTCAATCCTACATATATGATCGATTTCTCATTCTTTAGCAAAAAAACATAAAACAGGAAACTGCAGGTCAAAATAATTCATCGACTTCAGAGGCAGAAATTGAAATTATTCAAACAAACCAGGAAAACTCTATACTTAATTCTACACTCGACGAATGTCCAACTGTTACAAAAAAAGCAAGACTAGATTTACAATCAGATAACAATAGCAAGAAGATAAATGATGTGAATAAGGACAATATTAAAAATACCGCAGGGATAAGTTCACAATCAAATGTTAAAACTTCATTTAAAAAAAAAAACTAAAAAATCTTTCGTGATACTATAAATTAAGCGTTTGTACAAAAAGTAATTTAATATTAAATTTATTTATACTACAGTTTTTATGTTAATTGCTGCATTTTTTTAAATTAGAAACAGAAAATAGAATTCTACTGAAACAGCTATATTTCTGGAGCTATATTTCTTTATAATGGAATCTCTTCCTTAATTTATTCTTTTTATTCTTTTTTATCTATAACCCCACTACATAATTAGTTTTGCACCTGGTGATATATTAAGTCCTTGCGTTTTTCATTCGTTTTCTTACTCTGTAACATTGTATGGACATATGGTGAGAAAAACAGAATTTTAATTTAAAGAAGGAGGTTTCCAGAGTAGTGGCGGCAAATATAAATAATAAAGATTTACTAATTTATTGACAACAGTTAACTGTATTATTTTTTTACAGACAATTTATATGGCTGATGTGATTTCAATTAATATATTTTGAATCTTCTATCAATAATAGTAATGGAGATATTACGCGAGTTCCGTTTTTTCGAAAGTAACGCTAAATGTGTAATATTAAAAAATTGTTTATATCTTCTTTACATTAATGATTGTAGATGTCAATACGTTGTGTTGTAACAAAATAATATATATTTATTAATCTAAAAACTATTTTTAATACAGAGTATATATATTTTGTGTCCATTTGCATCTGTAGTCATCTACCTCAAGCAAAACCTACATAGGATTTTCAATAGTGCACTTGTAATTCTACCCAATTAAGTTCCACATATCTTTTTTTAAATTAGCGTTTAGTTTATTATGTGCCAAAAATATGTCCAGAATATAAAACAATGTAAATGATAAATTATGATTATGAAAAATATAGAGTGAGCTTTTAGAATGACGAATTATTTACTTCCCAAGGGATTAAGATGACCATTTCGATATATGTCTATAAACTTTTATTCAGTTTTCATAGGCGCTACATCATTTTCATACGTAAAGAGATAGACAAAAGGAATTCTGACGTCACATATGTATATATACACAGGATCGCAGACAGCACATGCCATTAAGTGTTACAAAACGCATTGGTTCTTATCAGTAGCAGTCGTGTTTTAACAATTGGATATTAATCGGAATACTCTCTTATATTCTAGGAACTGAAAAACGAGTACTTTGTACGTAAGACTAGTTTCGTTTTTCTACTTTTTCATATTCTGCAATTGTAAATGCGAACGAATTCAAATTGTCATTCGAAGCGTCATCTAATGCATCAATATTTTTATACTCGTTTATATATTATTACATTTTTTATTTAATAGCGTTATTGTACGTCAAGCGCCGGTACGAATGTACAAAACACACTTTGGCTCTCCAAACCAAGTTTCTGCTAAACTTGTAATATATTAAAAAATTGATTTAATTGCAATCTTATTGTTACAATTAAGTATTTCAGATTTGGTCAATATGGTAACTTGTGCAAAATTTTTTGTATAATATAATATAAACGTGCATTAGTAATATTGCGAGATAATAAAACCATATCGTCAGTTACCAATTATTGTTTTAAATATGTACAAATATATGCTTCCTTAAAATTAAACTAGTTTTAAAGCGATAGAATTACAAGATACATACAGTACTCTTGTGTATTGCATTTAATTCGCTTAATAGTAATTACAAATAGTAATAACAATAACAATAAATAAAAAATATAATAAAACGCAAATGTTTATTTTCGAATCGTATTTATATAGCTATATGTGTGTGTGCGTGCGTGCGTGCGCGCGCGCGTGTGTGTGTGTGTGTGTGTATATTTAACAAACTCTGAGTCTTATTACAAATTGCAAATAAACTAAAATAAAAGAGTAGCAAAATCATTGTATGCTCGCGATACAAATGCCATTCTAAGAATGAATAACGGTACTTGATTTCGTACACATGAAAGTCTTCATGACTTTCGTATAATTCGTTCGTCGATTTTCACATCATCTTTCGACTGCAAGTACCGCCTTACAAAATGCATAGATTTTCGCACAACATCCAATTCTCCCTAAAATTACATTGTATACTAATGTTGAAGTATTAGTCCACAGTGTGTATGTGTATGTATGTGATTCAATCGCTCACATTTTCTTCACTGGATTCCTTAAACTCGTATTTTCTTCTAACATCTGTGATATTTCTTGTTGGATCAGTTTATCGATTGACCCATCTCTTCACCGCTTCCGCCCAGTTGGCTTCATCTTCGTCTTCCTTCTCACCGTCCGCCTCTTCTCTCTCGCCTCTCTCCTGCTCCTGTTCGCTGGACAATGTAGCCGACGGTGTTTGCGGTATGCTGTTACGAGATCTCAATTCTGCCAAAAAATCATTCTCCTGCTGATAACGTCGTTGTAGTTCCTCTCGCCAGGAATTTCCACCGCCGCTACTATCATCGCCATCCTCGCCGGCTTCAAAGTCTATAAGTAGACGCGACTAGTTTCAAAATTCAGTCGCACAAAAATACTGAGATTATTATATTTGTTACTTTCAGTTCAAACGATAAAAGATAAAGTAGCATATCTATATTCGCTGAATTTAATTCCATTTCTCTTTTTCATTGTCTTCCCAAGTAGGTCTCTCAACTTCGAAGGTTTATGTAGTCGTATATTATCTGATGTTTGAACATATATAAACTTATAACTATAGACGAATAAGAATAATCATTTATGAAGATATACGACAAAAATCCGTAGAATAACTTATCTTAATATTATCGTCAGAAGTATACATCGTAGTTGTGTGCGTGATGCTTATGAAGATGAAAGAAATGTAGAGATATGTTATTAAATATGAATACGAGTATATATATATATATATTGTATGTACAAATATGTACAGTTTGATTTTTGCAAAATTAATGTTGAAAGTACCAAAGAAAAAATTAAACCGAAATATTAATATGAAACTCGTAGATAATTAGCGCTTGAAAAATTTAAGGATTGCTTCAATTAGAAGAGCAACATTGCGAAGATCTAAAGTGCAAACCAAAGTAAAAGTAATGAAAGTCTCAAAAGTCGATGTAGAGATACTTACCTAACGGTTTTCTGATGTTCATTAGTCCCGAGTTGTGAGAATGGTCCTCCTGGTCTGAGTCTGCAAGCCACCAGGACACATTCACGGGGGGTGCATCACACACATTCCACAACACGTCTAAAGTGTCATTTGTATATTGTATATAGTATAATGGAATGTCTATTCGTCGCGGTCAAATTCAATTAAGAAGGTATACATACAGTTTGTGTAATAAGAGCGGGATATAATTAAAAAATTGCTTTTTATAATAAAATGAAAAAAATTGCATATATATTATTTAATTAATGTTACGACGTTTCTATAATTTTAAGCTGTTTAGTCGTTGCCGTTGTCGATAATTGGAATCTCCTGGGCATACTTTTTACTTGACAGATTAAATTCTCAAGGTAAAGATCTCCATATCAAACGAATTTATCCAATTAATTGTTTCATCGTTTATATTTTTTTTCACGAAGCTTTAATTTTATTTTCAAACGTTCTCGATCGAATTCACTTCGGCCACTTTAACACTTCGATGCTATTTTCTTCTTTCCATTGGATGCAAAAACGACTTCGATGTTTCGAATCATTCAAAATATCCAAAATATCCAAGTAGATAAAGTGTTAAATCCTTGCTTTGAGGAGCAGTCCTACTTTTATTGGCTATAACAAACAATTCGTTGGAGAAGTCTGTTAATTTGAACATGGGACTAAACTAAGATGAGCCGTTAGATTTTTTTTTTAATTATTTGCACGTAAAGGAATACAAATAAAGAAATTCAAATGCTCTCATCAAGGATATCAATATTTTTTCCCTTCAGTCTCGAAGGTTGGTAGAAATTGTCTACAATCTATTCATTCTCTTTCATCTTTCATCTTTGCTTGAATCCCTTACTTATAGTCTTTGACTTATTATGTATTTCGTAGTTGATTCTCATGATATTTATGGTCCACTCAGATTTCAAGGATTTCACTTAATTATTCGATTTTTCGATGTAATGAACAGTTTTGTCGATCACGCTCTTGTTAGACAAACTGTATGTCCTTATCCATATAGAAATATTTTTTTATAGTTTCTATTATCATCTCTATTTTTAATTATCTTTTTATAGTGTACTTTTATACTTTTTTAAATTTAGGTAATTTTGAATTTCTAATTTTTTGTTTTACACTTATATCAAATTATGAGTTCGTTAGTTTAATAAATAATCCGAGTTTTCTTAATGTGTTCAATTAATGTGTATTTCTTGAGACTGCGAATTAGATTGTTGTTGTCATCTGTGATCTTGCGTGTAATGTAGTCCGTGTGCTATTCGACTAGGCTAATATTAACTAACTCTATTCTAGAAAGAAAATAAATGGAACCGTAGAAACGGCAACAGGCAAATATACAGACTATTTTCCAACCGTTCAGACTAATTTTAGCATTTACACTCACTAACAGAAGTAATGAGGAAGGTTCGTATGCATACAGTTTGCATCTGGAGACGACGATTTGTGGCCTTCATTTGTATAAACTTTTCTCATTACTTTGTTCAGTAGAATGCTAAGTTGTCGAACGTTTTAGAAACAAACTGTATAAAGAAAATATACACAATATCTCAAGATTATTGCACTTTCTCTTGATCATTAGATATTAAAATATAAAATGAAATTTACAATCGTTAAAAATTCTTGAAAAAATAATATTTTAAATATGAAGTTTAAATGTACAAGTAAATGACGAAGTTCTCTGTTAATAGTTTTCAATCAAATTTAAGTAAGAAAAAATATTTTGTATCTCGTCAAAATGACGTAACTGCTGGAAGAAAGTGTAATAATTTTTAATAGGGGACCGTATGTATATTTCGATATTTACATCTTCTAGCTCGAAAGAGCTATATTTTCGTATATAATCATTATTATATTATTGAAAATTTGCATAAAAATTATATATAATGTAAAATATTGTGATATTAGAATCGCTTATCTTAATATTTTATGTGATTGGATTGATAAGATTCACGTCGATCCAATCATTATTAACTTTTCTGCAACGAATATGTTATTGTACTTACACGATTTTCCAGAATATAAACGTATATACATAAAGGTGCATTCAAGTTCGATTCAAATATATCCAATGAAATATATCTCACGTATAGATAGCATTTGTATAAATCTTCTTACAAATCGACTATGAATATCAAGACTAAGAACAGATGAAGAGTCGCATCTTTTTCATGCTATATGATTCTTTGATAATATGAGATTTCGAATATAAATAAATGCGACGTGGCATGCCTGTACATTCAGTTCAAATGCGATGATTGAAAATATTTCAAAGATAAATGTTAGTACACAGCAAGTAATTGAAAGATAAATCCTGTAT